TATTAAATTTATATTCATAAATTAAATTTATAATATAAAAGCATTTTTTAAAATGCTTTTTCTCATTATTGTCCCAAAGCAGTCAGAAATCTTATAGCAATTACTGCTATTATTATTTAATTTTCCTTGGGAATGGATTCAGAGCATCTTTATAATTTTTGTCATTATTATCATTATTGAGTGAAATTTCCCTGCTTCACTAGAAATATTTAAAAGAGCAAATGCTGAGTTAGAGGGAGAAAAAGAAGATTAGATGTAGTGCTTGAATATTTAAATTGCTACAGAGATCATTCATATTTCCTCTGAAGTAAGAAAAAATAGAAAAAGCAAGAATCTTAACTTGTCATTTTTTTACTTGAGTATATGTAAGAAGCTGCCAGGAGCTGGATTTAAATCAGTGTTGAAAGGGGCAAAGTTTCAAAATATCACAAGTGTTGAAGCTGTTATTACAGCTAGCATTCTGTTTTTCATTGTTCTTCGTGCCTGAAGTTAGTGCAGATAATAGCAGATTCTTTGAAACAACCAGATCTGATAGAGACATTCCTAGTAATCTAAAGAAATCTAGTAAATACTCCTGGGTTTTTAATTGCTTGTTAAGTATTATTGAATATAGGATCAAGTTTGAGCTTGATGTTTGAAATCTGGTGTTTTGAGAAGATCTTTTGAGTCTTCAAGAAAATGCTGGAGAAAAAATTATACCATTAATGAAAGATCAAACATAATGGAGAGGATGGAGGCCTTTTACAGTTGCCTGAGATGACAAAGATGGAAAAGCAAAGCAAGATATCACTCCAGAGAATACATCTTCCTTCAAGTTAGAGTGATAGAAGCTAGATTTTTATTTGCACAGCAGAAGTCACAGATGGTATTGAATTTTCACATCTGTCTTCCAATAAGAGTTACTGGTAGTGTGGATGAATGTAGTTATTGACTAGACAGTGAGAAATCTTTATTTTTACCCAGTTTTTGTCTTTATTATTGATAAGAACAAAGTGTTGTGGAATCAGAGAAACATTGATAGGTGCCTCTGGAAGTCAACTCCCTGCTCAAAACAGGGCAAGCTTAAATCAGGTTGCCTAGGTCCTTGTCCACTTGGCTTTAAAGTATTCCCACAAACTGTAGTTTTCTTTAGAGTATGATTGCCTTTTTCCAGTCACCAGAAACTATGCCATGGTCTTTTGAATATGACTGACAGGAGCATCTGAGTGACTACAGTCAGCTTCCTCAATACCTTTGCTTACAGCCCAAATAGTCCCATGGAGCTGTTTGTGTCCAGCTGGCCTAAGTGCCTGTTAGCTGTCTTCATCTACTGTAGATAATGCTTCACTCCCATAGAACTTAGGTGGCTTCACACCTAAGAACTTTTTTACTTAGGTGGCTTCACAGGGGAAAAATAATTGAATTTCAAAGCATGAGTATGATTTTATATGATGTCACTGACGATGTGTGTGTGTGTGTATATGTATATATATACACACATATATATCACTATAAATACCTGCATGGTATGATATGCAGTACATGACTAGGAGTTACAAAAAACTGTTCTCAAATACATATATATACATATATACACATATACATATATATTCATTTTGTTCTTTTGAGTGAACAACACCTACAGTCTATTGCCAGTGGGTTTGAGAGAATATAATTAAGATGTGACCTGCACATACTTTGTCTGCTCCCAAGTTTGGTAGTTAAGGAGCAAGGAGCTGCTGCCTTCTCATTTGTGCTAATTTTCAGCCCTTCATACACACTAGAAAAATGATGTGCACAGATACTACTGGTGCCAGATAGTAGCTATGAACATGGTGGGGGTTGGAGGAAGAAAACCTTCAGACAGGTAAATGAGTTGAATTGGGTCATGAATGCTTGGACTAGCACGGGAGAGGAAGGAGAACCGTGTGGCCTGAAGCAGGGGAAGAGGGAGGAAACCGCCCTTGGATTCTGCTTTTGTGCTTCAACAGTCCCATTTACTTCAGCAGGACTCCTCATGTAAATGCATTTAAATATTTTGTTAGTTTATACCTAATAACACCATCTAGCTCTTCTATAAGCTTACTTATCTTGGTGACAAAAAGTTATTGTAGCTACTAAAACTACAGTTTTTATTAAAGTACATGAAAAATTAATATTTTACGAGACAAAAGCTTTCCTACTGCCCTTGCCTAGTACACTGTTCGTTTTTATTCATGCCTCTGTTTGTTTTCCAGGGCAACTGTGTCTTCTCATGTAGGTGCTTCCAATGAGAAGTGGGCATATCTTATTTGGCCAGAATGGAATGAAGCAGATATCAATGCAGAAAAATGGGATACTGCAAAAGCTGGAAAAGAGAAAGAAAAAACTGGAAAAAGTCCCATCTCAGTAAGTTGTATAACAGATATATTATTTCTGCTTCCTCTTTTGTATTTGTGTTTAATAGACCATTTGTCACAACTTCAAAATAGTTTGTTACTGGCATTCATTTTCAATCATGTATTTTCAGTAAGTTTAAAATAGTTCCCAGCTAAACTAAACCAGTATGGCTTGTACTTTTAGTATACTAAAAATGTGGTGCATTGTTATTTTTTGCTTCTTAAATGAACCGTTAACATACGTGTGTGCATTAATGGTTTAATAAAAATGCAACCCCAAACTATTTCGTAATATTATTAAAATGGGATGTGTAAACAGCTGAACTACTGTAGTATGTCAGAGCAATCCCTTCCCTTAGCACTGCAGTTTCTTTGGACTGAAAAGACTAAATGCACCCATCTGTACCATCTTTATTATGGGAAAATGAATGTTGAAGTCTTTTCTTTTGAGCACCTTTTGTAGGGAATGGTTTGAGGAGATATGTTATTTTACAGAAAGTAAGCATCCACCAGATGAAAAAAAAAATTTCTCAGTCTTTCCAATTTTGGAATGACCTTTAAGTCTAATCTGGATTTCTGCAACTTAAAACTGGTTATTATTACAGAGTGTATATGCATTTTATGTAGAGTAGGAGTAAAATTATTTCTTAAAGAGTTATTTGGATTTTGAATTTCACTGAAAATGCTAAATTTATTTAATGCTATGCTAAATCATCTATTTTATATGGAAATAATTATATGCTTTGTTTATATGTTTGTCCTATGTGTATCCTTGTGTGCTATGTATGTTAGCATATGTGTTTGTAGAGATTTTTTTTCTTATCCCTTAAATACATTGCACCCTATGAACCAAAGTACTCTTGAGAGAAGGCATAGGTTCTGTACTGAACACTGCCATTAAATTGACCAGTAAATAATTTTCCTTCAGGTCTTTCTTCTATTCCATTACCACATTTGATTTCTTTGGACTGTACTCTAAAGATTTATCTAGCACTAATCTGTTAGGTTTCCTACATACTATTGTGATAGATAAAATCTAAAAATGATTGTAAGTGAAAATCAATCTTTTTTAGCATAAGAGGCATTTCCCGGTATTTATTGGACCATTTGGTTCTACAGCCACAAGCTATGTGAAACATTGCTCTTTTTACATGTTTAAAGGAGTTGTCAAATGTCAGTCACAGCCAATGAATTTACAAGTTTAAAGAATATTCTCATGTGGCCTCTTTTGATCCAAGCATCTAGCCAGAATTCAAAATCATATAGGGTATTTCAGTTAACGAATTAATGATGGCATCCAGGCCCTTTGAGTACACTTAGAACATGAATATAATAAATCCTGGGCTTTTTGTGTGGGAAGAGGGATCAGTCAGAAGTGATCTGGCTTTGTAATGCTAAAGTTGTTTTACCAAGCACCCCTACACAATAGCCTCTCAGAGCAGTGCAGTGTGTTGCTGAGATTGTGCGTTCGACCTTGTCTGTTTCTCTTGTGTCTGTTTCTTGCCTGTCCTCCCTGTAGAATTTAGGGTTAAGACTCCTGTCCTTAGAGTGTGAAATCCTGAGGCCTGGGAGTTGTCTCTTACAGTCACGTCAGATAAGTTACACCTGATTTTGTCAGCCAAGTTTAACTGAACCTACAGTATCCATCTTCAACATATTTTTGCACACATAAGCTAAAGAAAGGTGTGTCTTTCAGGAGGCTTTAGTGTTTCTTTGCATAGTGTTATGTCATTCTTACCTGCCTCCTTTTTCTGTTTTATCTAGTGTTTACATGCTAAACTTCACTGTTACACTGTGTAGTCAGTGTAGGCTGCCTCTGAAAGCCAAATATAAACTCTGTTAATACAGTTCTGTGTGGTCCAGGCTACAACACTTCCTTCCAGCTTTCAGAAAAATAAGTATTACTAAAAGGTTCTTGTTTTCCTCCTAACTTCTTTTCTCCTTCAAGTACTTGAAATAGTTTGTTGATGATTGATATGTTGAAGGATCTTAGACAATGAAACAAATAAGAAAAAAATGCAGGCAAAATATTATTTTGGAGACTTTGTTTTGTTTGTTCTTTATGCTTTTGTAATGTATTTTCTTTTGCCTTCCTTTAATCAATAAGTGCTCAAAGTATTCTAGTTTTTTCCTTCCCAGACACACTGCCTTTTGTCTGGTCTGTAGAGCACAAATACAGTACATTGTGGACTGTAAAGTACATAGAAATGTATAATATGCCTAAAAAGCTATTAAAAATTCCAGGCACAAATAAAAAGCATAAACCATGTAACTGATTTAGTTTCTCAGTCAGCACGAGCAGTTATCAGAGGCTTCTCTTCATCCTACATTGTACTATTAAGTAAACAGATATTGTATAGCCTGACACCCTCTATTCACATGGAGGATAAGTATTACTTTGGAACTGAAAGTTTAAAATTTGTATGAGACTCTCTTTTTAATGGGCTAACTCATGATGCTGTATATTTATAACTTTCTTTTGTTTCTAGAGCAGTTTTAAATGTGTGGATCTTGCATTGTTTGTGTCTAAATATCACTTTAGAAATTTATTTTTGGTCTTCAATTTAAAAAGCTTTAGAAATAAGTGAGTTAGAAAAAGTACTATGAAACAGCTTGGTAGAAGAGTGCCGACATAAAACCTTAAACAGTTGGTTTGGAGGTGTTTCTGGAAGGTGGAAAAGAAAAAAGCAATTTCATATAGACCTATTTAGACAATGCAGACCACAGACTTCTCAGAACAATATTGCTTTTGTGCTGAATCTTCATTTTGGGCTTTGCAGTGTTTTAGTTTAATTACAGATACTGTTAGTTCCTTTTTATGATAATTTTCCCCTTAAGTGAATTATCATGTGAACAATACATTACTTTAAACCGTGTGGAAGATACAATACTGTAATTAATTAAAAAGTGTTCCATTTTTGTTCATGCATATTTTACATAGCATGTCTTTGAGGATCCTGAAGGAAAAATAGAGTTGCCAGCGTCCTTAAAAGTGCACTCATGGAAACGCCCACATGAGTTTCTAACAAATAAGGTAAGAAGCAAGCAAGGTCACAATGAAAAAATGCTGCTCACCTAGCTATGTCCAAGTAGAGGAAATTACTTCAAGTTAAAGCCCACTTGACCATGCGTAGTCATCCTGTCCAGGAGAAGGTTGTGCTTCAAAGAGTCAGTGATGCATGCAGCAAGTAACCTGTGCTGCACACACAGCTTGGCCTTGAGGCCTGTGTGATGCTGGGTGTGATCCCTGGTCACTAGGTGAACTCAGGCAGCTCATGGTAAGGGAGGAGCCTCTGGGCAGATCGTACTTCTTACTGGCAATTTACACCACCTACATCTCCGTGCCTTTGTCTGACTGCAGCAGCAAGTTCCTATGTGAACATCTGTTCTGTTTTACAGTAAAAATGATGAACAGAGTTGTTTTCTTGTAAGAAAATCCTGTAAGAGCTCAAATCCTATCATAGCTCAATAATACCAAACCAGCATAATCCTTTCTACAGATGGCATCTGCACAGAATGCTGTGTGTGGATCAGAGGCCTGTTTGATGCTGCACAACTTGGGTTTCCCAGTGTCTAAAACGGAAGGTTACCTATGCTAATCCCTTTCCTTTTGGAGCTGGCTCAAATAATAGCATTTTAAATAGTACTCTGTGGAGTCTGAGTGCCTTCCTTACTTGGACCACCATGAACCTGCACCTCCTGGTGCAAATATCACGGTAGTGTGTCCTCCCAAGTCTGCTCTGCTTTTTGACTTGACATTCATTTGGAAGCCACCTGATCAGAGAGGTGCTTTACTGATTTTGTGTTCTTGTTTTCTAACTTAAAAAAGGGGTGTCATGGCAAACCAAGTTCTGTTTGTTCCAACTAAGACTTCCCTTGAGCAGGTATCTGAGGTAATTATCTATCCTGAAACCATGAATTAGCTTTATCAGAAATATAGTACTTTCCTTTCTTTAACTATTGTATTTCTCCACTCTGCATACAGAATGTGTCCACATCTTTGACAATACTTGTCTTGAAAGTAACTGTAACATGTTAAAATTATGTAAAGCTCTTGTTCAGTTTCTTTTTAAAAGTAATTGCAAAGAAAATAAACAGCCTAACATTTTGAAGTTTAGCATTCTCCAATGCTGTTGCTAATCTAAATTTGAAAGCATTTTTGCTTCAGATGAAATGCTGAAGTTTTAAAACACTTTGAACACCCTTCCAGCTTTTTCAGGCTCATCAGTTTTCCTTTTGTCAGCTTGTCAGTTCCATTTTTTATTAACTAAACACTAAACAGGTCCAAGTTTAATTTTTAATGGAAGAAGGAGAGGAGGAGGTCAGGGGAGTAATTGTCAAGACCAAAAGATTGGATGAGAAATGCTGCCAAAATGCATAAACTTAGAGGTATCTGAAAGATGAGGGCAAGAGAGCTGGCAGCCCAGAAAGCCATGGAAACATGTATCTATATTAAAAATATCTTTTTAAAAATCTATCTTTAGAGCACTATAAAGAAAGCATTTGTTTTCTATAAAGCCTGATTAAAACTTTGATGCTTGTTTTGTTCCAAGGTTTTTTGAACTAAGAAGCTATTATTACTAGAAATTTTAGAAGTTAAGAATTAATGTAAATGCCATGTGATGGAAGGCTATTGAGATGGCACATGTTGCTACCTAATTTATGAGTAACTATAAGAGGAAGTGTAAACAAGCCTACTTAATGTAGTAAACAAAGCATCAAGCAACGATCACAAATATATGATGAGAGTCACAGATATATTTAGTTCAGTAAACTACAATCCTGGTATTTTATTTCTAAACAGCTTACAAAAAGAAAATGGACTGCATAAACAAGTAATAGTCATCACAACTATGTAATAGAGTCAAAGGTTTGAGAAAATCAGTATTCATACTGACAATACCACTGTGTAACGAACCACGAGGACACAAATAATTTTGAATCTTCGTGGGGTGCCAAGGAATTATCAAAGTATGATACAGTGTTATGATCACTATTTAAATGTAGAACTGCAAGTATTATGAACAAATTGAGGGAATCTCATTTACTTATCTAATTATCTCATTTGATACTCTTTAAATCTCCTGGTAAAAATAAAGATTTTTTTAAAACTTCTGAACAACTACGTTTCAAGACATTTAATGACATTTCATTTAAGAATACAAAATACAAAAGCAGCTACAAGATTTGCAAACTGATCACCTTTAGTTTGCCAAATGTGTAACACTTTTATGTTGTTGTGCTTAAAAATTACTATTTAATTTCTTGAAGATGGTTTAGCTGTGGACTTAATTAGTTTACTTTCTCCTAGATTCCTGTGGTTGTCAAAAATGAAACTTCATTTAACCTTGTTTCAGCAAATGAGCATATATTTTGTAGTGAGGTAGGTAGAAATACGTTAATGTATCTTCTAAAAATCTTTTTCTTTCATTCTCTTTAACTCTTTTTAGCTTTTTGGATTTCACTCCAGCTTTCTACCATGAAGATATAAATTGTAACAAAATTTTTAAGTGAGAAAAGAATGATGGGAATAAAATGGCAAGAAATCATCTAGATTGTATAACTTCTTTACCTTTCATACAATTTGAAAAGAAAATAAACAACCAACCATTTCAAAAATTTAAAAAAATTGATCAATGGTGGTAAGAGATTTTCCAAATGTGGGGTTGGTTTTTTTTAAATATACAGTCTATGAAGATGATTATAGGATGATGTTCTCTAAAGATATAACAAATAAAAGGTATTGTAGAAAAGATTTATAGTTTTCATTCAACTTTCCTAAAGTCACATTCTTAGTGTGCCTGCAGTATCTGCAAATGTCTGTCACTCCGCCAGTCTTTTCCTTCTCTCCAGAGTTGAATGCATGTTTACTGAATTTCTACAGATCAGGGGAAAATACAAAGCAGCAGGGAGAACCAATGCATCTGCACACCTTGCTGAATATAATATTACTTCATAGTTTCCATTTCATTCGATGCAAATTCAAAAATTGGTATCAGAGAGATTGTACAGGAGGAAAACACCAGAAAAAAGATGATGTAAATTTTGCTGTTCACAGAATGACTAATTCATTTTAGGACAAAATTTGTTTTTCATGAAACCATAGCTATTCTTTTATGTCTCTTGATTTAAAAGAGGATCTTTTTTGTTCTTTGATCATTATAATAAAACTAGATTTTATATTTCTAAAATATGTAAATAGAATTTTTTTTTCTTTTTTTTTCCTCTGTTTTCAGCTTATGAGGTGGATTATAAGTGAAATTTATGCAGTCTGGAGGATATATAATGGAAAGACTCTGACTAATGGAACATCCACACTTTTTTGGAAACCATGGGAACACATTTATGCCTTATGTAAAGCTTCCAAGGGACACATGCCACTGTACAATAGCTATGGAAAATACGTAGTGAAACTGTATTGGATGGTGAGTACCTCCCTTCAACAATACATAACTGTTGTGCAGCTAACATGGCAAATTTTAATGGTTAGGGCATTTATTTTTATTGAAAAGACATGGATTTATATGAGTAGAAGTGCTGACAAATTGTTGATGCATGTTAATAAAAATTCCTTTTATAGTTCATGTGATTATTCTACAACTTAGAGCTTGATAAAACAGAGTTATTACTTGAAAAAGCAATATTCTTTATTTCATAAATTATGCAGACTTTTGCTGATTGTTAGGAGAGTTTTTTTCCTGTGGGCACTGCAACGAGGTATTACATTTGAGTTTATTACATTGTAGACAGGATCCAGTAATGGCAGTTGTTAATGTGTATGTTCAAACTATCTATTGAAATAACTTTTCTGATACATGTAACACTTTTTTGTGTGTGTCAAACATCAGTTTTCTGTTTAAAAAAAAATTAGCCCAAAGCACAATTTCAGTACATTTAAGAGAAAATATTCGGTTCATTCTGTATCGTATAGCGAGTGCTTAAAATACTATTTATTTAAGCAGTGATTAATTTTCATCATTTGTAGTTTCTTTGAGCTCCATGTAATACTTTACATCCTATTTTTACAGGGTTTGATTTCTAAATCACATATCTTTTCATAGTCCAATGTAAACTGCTTTTGATTTGGCACATTTACAGTTTTCTTACTTTTGTTTCTTTCTTATACCTTTTTGTGGAAGTACTTATTGATACTTTTGGATTTTTTGGTCTCAAAACATTATGACAATACTAAGCATCATATTTGTGTGCCACTTGAATGGTAATTCCTTTTGCCACTTGAATTCTTAGTGTTGGCTGGCCTTTGCTAAAGCAAAACCAGGAGAATCAGGAAAGAACAACTTGGAGTTTTTTTTTGTTTTGTTTTAACCCATGGTAAAAAAATTAAAAAATAGAAGTCTCTTGAGAAGATTTTCTCAGCCAATAGGAAGCAGTCAAAAGAAATATGAACAGTAAGTATAGGAATACAACTTTTAAATTTAGGAAGGAAGAGGTTTTGCGAGGGCTGTGTTTGTGAAAAGCACTGATGTGATTAACAGAAGGATTTGGAAAGTGGAATGTAAGAGTGTGAGTAATCATACTCAAGGACAACACTTAAATGCTTAACATAGGAGACAGAAAAATATACCAGAGATTAAGAGGATATATATAAGATTTGGTAGAGAGTGAAGAGATTTTGTTTTCCCAATGGTCCTCATGGCAAGTCTCCAGTTTACCGTTATTTGAGATAATTAGTGTAGATCTATGAAAGGAGAGGGCACAAACTTCTCATCTGACAATGTTTCTGGAACTTGCATCACATCTGCAGTAGACGATGATTCTGGAGAGGGACAGCAGCAGGTGAGTGCCTCAGATAAGCTGGCCAAGTTTCGTGTTCGAGGTATGGAGAAAGGCTCACAGCTGCATGCAGCACGTCACTTAGAAACACCTCAGCACAGAGCCCTTTCAGAAATCTCTACAGTTATAAATACAAGATAATTACTCAAATACTTCCATGACCCTTGGATAACTGCTCAGCAGAGAACATTATTCTCTGTGTGAATTGAATGTTTCAGAGGTTGTGTGTTCTTGTGATAAAAGACTGCATTTTAAATCATCTATAAGGGTTATCAGGACATTTTAGTTTTTGTTACTTTTGTTCTGGTTTTGTTTTGTTATGGGCCTTTGGGTTTATTTCATTTGTTTTCTTCTGCTTGTACAGCTGTATTTCACAAAGAAAAATGGGGAAAAATAAGGGGCTCAGATGGTGGAAGATTAGAGAAAATGTGCAAATGAGAAAAGACAAATATTGGTAGAGATAGAGGAGAAACAGATATCACAGGAGAAAGTGGGAAATAAATGAAAAAGAAGAGAAAGCACAGTGGAAGACTAATGAACTCGTTTGAGTAAAATGCTGGATTGAGTCCTGAGGGGATTGCCAACCACCAGATCGAACCTGTGGATAACTTTCCATATAATTGGCACAATATTCCTAGTTCTACCCCACATCCCACTTTCATTTAGCATTTCTGAGGCTTATTGAATTTGTTTATTTCCACTATTTCTCACCTGTAAATTTCTTTTTCTATCCATAAACCTTCTGCTCCACATATTTTTCTTTCTTTCTTTCTTTCTCTTGGTGTCTTACTTCCTTAAACCAGGATAATTACTTTTAGAGTTAATAGTGAAATGCTGTAAAAAGGTTATTACTGATGCAAAATAGTTGTGATATGGATTCTCTTATTTATTAAATACAAAAAGCAAACAATTAGCGAGGAAGAGACTTTTTTTTCATGGAGCTACATATGCAAGAATTACTATTGCCTTTTAAGAATTACATGAACAGAATTACTACTTTGAATTAAAAAAAATGTCCTGAGCTATAGGGAAACCAAATATCTCCTCTATTTTTTCCTTTATTATTCAAATTGTACTGCTCTTTCTGTTAGACTTCAACTACTGAAAGAAGGGATGAATATATGATCATTTTACTTAGTAGGTCCTTTTCAGACTTGATAAATCTTGAAAATTTAGTTTTGGCTGTCAGGAAATAATTTGTATCTTTAAAAATATTTGCCTCTGATGTTTTGTGGATATCTTTGCTATATGGCCTAAATTTGCTTTCTTCTGCAACCTGTAGAGCCATATAAAGTTAATCAATGGTTAGCAGGAAGCCACAGTTTAGTTACAAGCAGAGAGCAGTAATTTGCACTCTGCTTAATAGATGATGAACATTTGAGTCATTTGGTCATTCTTCTTCCTTTTTTTGGGTCTAATGTAAATACTGAGTACTGCCCCACTAATTCCTCAGCCTCTTTGTTATGACTTCACCACTAGGACAGAGATATTTTTTGAGAATGGTAGGCAAGATTATTTTGTAGGGTACTAGATCAATTTACTAATGAAATACTTGGTCTTGTAGACTTAAGTTTCTTGTCTTACCTGGTTGTTTGTTTCCTATCCTGGGAATATGGATATTTGTTAAGTTCAGTCATTTTGTGTTGTTTCCTGCAGTGTTTTATAAGATACAATCTTAATGCTTTCCAGCACACTAACTACTGCAGCTGACATCCCCAGGTAGTTCTTGGGAAGCGAGTGAGACTGTTTGTGCCATGAGTATTTGCCAAAGTAAGACTTTAAAGAGGCATTTGCAAAACTGGTATCTTAGTTAGGCCTTTATTAATCATTGCTGTTTCTTAGGCATCTGCTGTGGTAGCTAAAGAAACAGCAATGAATGTATGCATGTGACAGACTACACATGTGAGAGGAAGTATATTGTGAAATAGCTGCAATTAGATTAATCTCTGAAATAAGTCAAAACAGTAATTAAAATCTATGAATACTGTTTCTGTGCTTCTCAGATACTGTATGAGAACTTCTTTTAAAGCCATCTGTAATGTACATCGAATCATAGTAGAATTGGGTTGTTGGGAAAGTATTAAAAGTTCATTTACATACATGTTCTGGTTCTAGCCCACAAACTCAGTGGTTTTTTTTCTTCTTTTTTCTCCCTCCCTCTGTCATAGGGATGCTGGAGAAAGATTACTGTGGATGACACTATGCCATTCAATGAAGAGGATAATTTGTTACTGCCAGCTACAACCTGCCAAATTGAACTTTGGCCAATGTTGCTGTCCAAAGCTATCATTAAGCTGGCAAATGCTAGGTATGTTTAGTCATCTCAGTTTTGGTTTGGTTTGTAAAGCCACATGGAATTTGCACAAAGTTGTTTTCATATACATGGAAAATATATTTTGCTAAAAATTTTGTAACAACAAATATACAGTCCTGTGAAAGCTGACACCATAAATCATAGAATAGAATGTTTTAGGCTGGAATGAACTCTTAGAGGCCATCTGGTCCAACCTCCCTACACAAGCAGGGAAATCAGTAAAGCTAAATGCCCTGTAGCTACAGAAGGTGCCTTATTTCCTTTTTAGATGTGTATGTAATAAATGCACAGAAAACTTTGCAAAGAAACTGGAGTACTCTCCCTGTTTGCTTTACCTCTTTGCCGTTATTCCTGGAAAGCTTCATGTGTGTTTTTCTGCCCAATGGAAATGTCCAAGAAGTTTTAATGAAGTTCTAATTGTCAGCATTAACCAGTGTTGAGTTAACCAGTACAGAGTATTGTAAGCTACTTTTGGTGCTTTTGCTACAGTTCTGCTTTTGTGTGTTGTATGATGATCCAGTTCCCTAAAACTGACTTGCAAAGTAGAAGGTGGCCCATGGTGCAGTGATTGAGATTTATGGACACAGGTTCTTATGAGATGAGCGAAGAACACAAAGTGTTTCAATGACTAAGCTTCAGAAAATAATTCAAAACACTTATCTGGTAATGAACCTTCCCTGTTCTGGTCATACCAAGTTATGTTTGTTGGAAGAGTGATCGAAAGATCTTCTATACAGGCTAGGGAGGTGCCTATTAGGAAACTGTTTGCAGGAATGTGTTCACAATGCTGCATTTCTGCAGAGCACACGGGTTAGTCAAGGGCAAGTGCTGGTATCTTTAGCCTTGGTTCAAAATCAAAGTCAAAAATCAGAGTCAAAAATCTCTCCAGAGGGTATTAGACTGTCAGTTTGAAAGAGTGGAGTGTGGTACATGGAAAACAGAACCAAATTGTGTATAATAGCTTAGGAGTTGGAGCGGCTGCTCAGGGAATGGAAATTCTAGATTCATCTGCCCCTTCTGGTGTGAAGGATTTCAGACCCACAACTCCAACTCTGCAAAAAAGAGAAATATACATAGTATACTTGCTAACAGTTTTGAAACTGTTGTGGTACCAGGGGGAACACTAAAATAATGAGCCTGATGCAAAGGCATAAAAGCAAATTTGACTTTGTAAGCTAGTTGTCAGCAGTGGTTTGGAAAACTAAAATTACAAGTAATGCCTCGTTTTTCAGCAAGCTCTTCTGTTTGTCTACGGTCTTGCTCCTACAGAAAGCTGTGTAGACTACAGACTTTACTGTGAGTTGCTTATATTATAATTCTGTAAAATGTCTGGTTTTGTCTTATAGTATTCATGAAACTGGAAAACGAGAACTGGAGGAATTTACAGTTCTTCATACACTGACTGGATGGATACCAGAAGTTATTCCTCTCCAGTAAGTTGTTCTATTAAATAATTTGAATATTAGTTGCTTCATATTTAATTCTGTAAGGCATTATGAAAAATAAAGCTAAGCCCTAAAAGTCCTTCAGCATCAGTTTTGGGAAGTGTATGTTATAGAATTCTGGGACTTGAGACATGTGCCTTCAAGGAAGACAGTTTTCATAGAATCATAGAGCAGCTTATGTTGGAAGGGACCCCAGAGATCATCTAATCCAACCTCCCTGCCATAGGCAAGGATGCTTCTCAACTAGATAAGGTTGCCCAAGGCCTCATCCAACCTGGCCTTGAACACCTCTATGGAGGGGGCATCCACAACCTATCTGGGCAATCTGTTCCAGAGTCTTGCCACCCTCATACTGAAGAACTTCTTCCTAAGATCTGGTCTAAACCTACTCTCCTTCAATTTAAAACCATTTCCCCTTGTCCTGTCACTGGACACTCTTGTGAAAAGTCCCTCTTCAGCCTTCCTGTAGCTTCCCTTCGGGTACTGGAAGGCAGTTATAAGGTCCCCCTGGAGTCTTCTCCAGGATGAACAATCCCAGTGCCCTCAGCCTATCCTCATAGCAGAGATGCTTTTACAGCTATTTATCATGTTAAGCTGATACCTATTCTTTACAAAATTAATAGATTTTTATTTAATATTAAACACTGGTGAAAACAGGGTCAGAGAAATCTGTGTCTTCTAGTATACAGGTACAAAATGCTTGTCAGTGATAGCTGTAACTGAATGTACTACAGAAAGCATACACCATGAATTTGGAAATAATCACTTTCACCTAGTATGGTATTATCAATTTTTAAATTGGGACAGTTGATACATTTCATTTCCAACCATAAATAGTGTTTCAAACCTGCAATAATTTTTCTTGTTTCCTCTGTGTCTTAAGTCCATTTTGTGGTTTTAAAGGACATTCTAATTTTCCAGCCTGAGATTCCTTTTACTCCATGAATGACCAAGATACAGGCACCAAATATTTAGCCTTTTTTATATATTACCTTTTTTTTTGCCTTTTGATGTATACTTTCTAATGAAGACATGGTTAACAAATAGTTTTGGTTTACATTTCATTAATTTATATATAATAATTTGTAACAATGTTTCAGTATGAGGTAAGTTCAGGCAAAGGTTTTTTTAGCCCTTATTTCAGCAATGTCCTAAGCATTGCTTGCAATTTGTGGTTTTGATATATTTTTTTCTTACAGTAATGTGTAAGTAGCCTGTGGAGTTAGAAATATAAGTAACCTAAATTTTTTTTGCATAGTTTTACAATTGCAACAGGAAAAAACAAAAAACAAAAACAACAAAAAAAAAATAACACAGTATTCATGACTCTGGCACTTACTACAAATATACTGTATAATGGAATAAGAAAATGTGAATGCCACAGAGTCTTTGCAATAGTACTATAAGGTGGCTTTTCTCATTGTGCAGTCAATATTTTTTTCTTTTAAAAAAAAGATTGCCTGCAGTTAGCTTGCATAAAGCTTATTCATGGCACTGATTCATTCAGTTTTAGATTATTTCTATATTCATTGAGTTTCTGTGGAGAACCAGTATAGGTGCAACTGTTGTGTCATATCAAAAAGCTGTTGTAGCTGGTGGAGTCAGTGGAAGAGGCATGGAACTACCTGTACTGAAACAGGAAAACCAGGATTGGAAGTACCCCTGAGAAGGTTTCTAATGTAAAGAGCCAGAATCAAATGACACGGTGTAGTTGCAAAGTGGTCTGCAGATTTCCCTGCAACAGCTTTTATCTGCTAAAAAGCTTTAGAAAAGATGCCTTATTTACGTGCTTCTCTAACCATCTCATTCTTTATGGATCTGTCCATAATCTCTCTCCTAACAAATTGGCTGATACATAAAATCGGGCATGTGTCTTTTATTTATTCAAAAAACCCTGTCCAAGGGTTGGACTGTCAGTTGTAGTATAGCATTTGCCAAATGAAAGTTATGCTTTCTTTTTCTAATGCAAATATCACTATCATTGACATATACATGTGTTTTTTTTTAAAGGCCTGGATACTTGGACAAAATCTGGGGATTTTTGAAAGAGATTGTACCAGAATTCAAGTTGCCAAATGAGAAAACTCCAGAACTTGATATTCCTCAGTCAGATACAAAACCTAAAGAGACCCAGGAATCAGAATTAAAAAATGAAGTTTCATCTGTGGTTAAGCAGTCAGATAAATCTGAGAAAGCTGGTAAAGTCGGCAAAGGTCTGTAATTTTTAGGTAGTGTTATATTTGTAGGCCAAGCATAAATACAGTATAACCTCTGGTTTTGAATTTTTGTTTTTTATTATGCCACATGTGAGGCTGTGGGTTTATTGTTGTTTCATTCAACATGTTGCCATGGTGTAAATGCAAAAAAAAAAGTTTGCTTTAAATATAGATCTCATTAGAAGCCATAGTTGTCTCTCATTTTATGAAAACAGCTTCATTTTATGGCAGAGGTTTGTTCAGCTTTGTGTCACAGCCATTTCTCTAAAGACTAGTTCCTTGCAAGAGACAGAGAGCAATCAGAGAGAGGTTACAGTTTCCCCAAAGGCAACACTTATTCTGACCATCAACAAATTATACATTTCATAATGGATGTCACAAAGCATGATTACCTACAGAGATTTCTAACAAGTATGTTCTAATGTCTACCTGCATTTTTATTTATAGCAACTTTCATGTTTATGCTACTAGGTTTAGGTATTAATTTTCTTAAAGGGCTTCTAATCTTATTAACATCTAATTGGAAGAACTTAGGTTTAGAAACTAATTTGTTCCAGTACATTATTCTTCAACGTTTATTTTTGGGTTTGAGTTCTTAGTTGCTGTTTTTAACTTGAAGGCATGTATGCAATTTCACACTTCTAAAGTCTTTGAAAGGTACAAATCACATATGAAAGAATGTTCCTACTGTGGGAGACTTTCTTCTTCTATGTCCATTGGGAACCTGTGCCTCTATGTTAGATGTTTTTGTAATTACTGATGCACACTGACAAGGACATGAAGAAAATATTAGATACAGTGCCAGGAATTCAGGAATTCTGAAGATCATAGTAGGAACCTGAGAGCTGTACACTAACTAGAACATGGGACTGAAGCCTCCTGGCCCCTTCTCAGTAAATCTGCATTTACATCTTAAGAATATTTTTTTTTTTTCTTTATTGTATGTTAACTCTTCTGACCTGGAATAGTTTGTGGTTGAACATTTTTAAAAATCTTTTACACAACATGAGATATTATGACTGCAAGTTTCTATCTGAAAAATAAAAATATTTAATCTTTATTTTTCTCAATAGAAAAAGCAGAACAGAGAGAGAATGGAAAGAAGAAAAGCAAAGAAGGAGAAAAAGAAAAAAACAAGTTAGCACGTCAGACTTCGCAAATGGCAGAAGGCCAACATTCTCTTCACACCTTAACTGAAAGTAAGTTCTTTTGAAGCTAAAAATACGAGCAGGAGATATATGTAAGACAAAGGGCTTTGCTTTTATTAGTTTTGAACTTAATTGGAGGGAGGTTAAAAATACAACTTGTATTTTTTTTAAATTGCAGTTTTTTGCAGGCTGCATTACAGACTGAAATCACCCTAACCTCTTAAAATCCTGTAACTTACGTTAAGGAACAGTATCGCAGGAATTTGAGTTTGATGTCAAAAAGTAGATCTGTGCAGAATATCTTGAAGTCGCTGGCCAGTCATAAAGGACCAAGATTTGTTCTAGTGGTAAACTGTTTTTGTGTGCTAAAAAATATAGAGCTTCCTCTCTAATAACTTTTTTGTTCAATAACTACTTTATTCAGAAAATTTCAGCTGTAAAAAGCAGGAATCCTGTGTTGAAGGACAGCGGATGAGAAGGGCCAGAAATATTAGATGTATAAATTATATGATTAATAGTTTTTATTTCCTTTATCCTGGAAATAAATCTTGATGAGTTTTTTGTATCAATACATTCATGATAGCATAAAACCCCCTAAATTCTTGCTTTGTGTATTTAGATTTTATTAAAAAAAGAATACAACAAAATACAGTTTAAAGAAATCACAAGTAAATACTAATTAGTGAACTAATTGGTCAATACGAATCATCATGCTTATTAGCATAAAATACAGAAATTCTTCATAAACATACATTAAGCTGATTTGCTTTTGTCATTGCTTGTATTTGCATACATGTAGTATTTCAAGATGGCTAGCAGAAGGGAACATTTATTAACTGGAATTTTCGAGTTGCTAATTGAGGTAAGAATAGGTAGAGCATCATTCTTTGGGGAAATAACTACAAAATAAAAATGTATAACAAGAATTAAACTTGTTATATAAACCAGATTCCTCCTTCTTGATTTAAATCCTGATTAACATTGGTGGTTTAAATAATTTTTAATTTCTATCAAAACAATATTGCTGTGTGTCATCAGCAAATACATTCATTTGAATTCCTACCTTATATACTACTAAAGGAGTGAAGCAGCAGTAAATTTTAAAATGTATTGCAGGAATTGTAAAATGTATTGCTTGAGTGGTAGTAGTTGTGGAACAGGAAATGGGAGTTTCACCTGAGTATGAGGAACTTAATGTGACTAGTACTCGAGGACATCATGGGGAAAAGAAACCAAAGGCAAAGCAGAAGAATACGAGGGATGAATTGTAGAAATTGTGCAAAATGAGTGAAAGAGCGTCAGGTGGTTTTTCCATATGAAGAACTACATGACATTTTGATCTTTGGTTTACAGTGGCCTGTGAAGAGGTTATTCAGAAAGATTATTAGTTCAGGGCTCAAACATGATAGCCGGAGAACTTTTATCCTAATTCTGGACCAGAAAAGTTCTGAAATATAGGAAGAAGTAGACAGCTCACTAATAAACTTTGTAAGAATTTGAATAGAAGTAAATGTGGAGATGGTAAAGTCAAAGAGTGTAAGATATGGAGCAAGGGGAAAAAAAGAACTACCATTTGAAATACTACTAAATTCAAATGCATTTTTGTTGTGAGATTGTAGCCACGAGAGAAAAAGCTTCCAGGCTTTATGAGACACATGATCTGCACAGAGTGGCCTGGGACAGTAGAACAACTGTTGTACATAAAGTGACATTTGAATATAGGGCTAGGTTCAAAGTCAAACTCCAGAGGCAGTGGTTGTAAAACGTTTCTGAATTGCTCTTGGGAATTTTGTAACAGTGACTTTATTTAATGCAACAGCTTTTCTTTTTTTTCTTTTTTTTTTTTTTAATATGTAAATGGATCAAAAAGTATATAATTTCCAGCACCACAGAAGTGCAACTTTCCTTACTGTCATTACTTGTGATAGAATTTATATTTTATTTCTAAAATGGCAAAATCTTTTGTGTTCATTGCTTTATATATTCATTACCTTCTTTAGTTTCATACACAATGATATACTGGTTACTTTTAAGTTTTCGGAAAATTCTTTACAGGCTTTTGACTTCACATTGATTATAATGTTGTGGTGGCTTGACACTCTCTTGCCCCCACCCAGTCACTTGCTAACTCTCCACCAGTGGGGATGAGGAGATAATCAGGAGGACTGAACCTCTTGCCCCCCCCCCAGCATACTTGCTGGGGCAGCACTGTGAGAAACAGAAGGATTTAAGCCACGTGAGCTTTGCTCAGCAATAGCTGTTCACACTGGTGTGCTATCAACACTGTTTTGGTCATATATCTAAAACACTGCACCATACAGGCTGCTCTGAAAAAAGTTAGCCCTATCCCAGCCAGATCAAATACAAATGTACAAATACAGCTCTGAATCACTTGTGCACTCAGACCAAAGTCTGCTGCACCCCTCAAATATCATATGAGGTGCAAGATCCTTGAAGCACTGAACCTATTTTTCTGTTTATCCTATTGCATGCATCCAGCAGAATAAGGACCCTTTCACCTTATTAGTCAGGGATCTTCCTGAGAGCAACCAGCTCTATGGCCCTGTGGCTTATCAGCCAGCCAGTCCTCAGGAAGCTTTTGTAGGCAATTAATATGTTCCTACTGGCCCATTTTAGCACAATCTGCACTCTTCCACTCATCAGCCTTTTCTTCTACTAACTATTTCTCCTTTCATAGAGAGCCGTTAATTCTATAAAGAGCTTTTATGATTATATCAGTTATGTAATCAGAGATAATATTTTCTGTCACAGAAGTGTTGGGAAATTAATGTGTTAAAAAAATTCTAAAATCATACCAATAGACCTGTAACATTAATCATCAGAGACAACGAGATACATAACACATGACTGTAAAGTTATTTTCATTTTCCTTTTGCCTATTGAAAAGTTTTCACTTATAAGTAGGGACCAAAGCCTAATATTTAATTATGTTTTTTTCCAAATGTACATTAGCATTCTGCAATATTTATGTCAATTCTGAAAAGCACATAGGCATCACTTAGCTTTGCCTATTGGAGAGTATTTTTTTAGTCTTCAGAAAAACAACCTAACACAACAGCAGAGCTTAATATATGAGCTGCACACCTCATAAGAAGGATATCGAAAGCCAGCTGAAGTGTTTTGGAAAATTTAAACTCAGTTACAGCTCTTGTTTGTCAAATAAATATTTAAGAAAAACATTAAGATTTACTGAGAAAATTCTTTGAGTTTTTGAAACGTATGATTTTTTTAAAAAATAAAAACAGGTAAGAACTATTAAACCCAACAATGTTCCTTCATAGCCTTTCTTTTTAAGTGGCGGAATACATATATATTACATGGATCAATTCAAATTATACTTTCCCTTCTGCCAGGGACTGAAACAATTGCTCAGGTTGTACAGTACTCACTGTCTGCTAATAAGTATGCAAAGCTTCAAATGTGATACGTAAACAGCTACAAGGATTCAGAAATTTTTAACAAAGCACTGCAGAATTCTTAAATCAACACTGATGGGTATAAATAATAGGCTTTCCTGAACCTAAGTGTTTTATTGTAGCATATGTTATATAGTATTTTTCATATAATACAAATTTATAAAGGCTGTAGGTTTTAACTAGTTTCCCCAGATGCTGAATTCACACTAATCAACAGTGCACTTGGCAATAATTTGCATACATTCTCATTTTTTGTACAGTGGAAAATGATCAAATAGTATATTTTTTAAAGATACTGGCATAATGTACAAAATCTTTCTGGTATTGTAATAGTATTAGTAAAGTTAATATGACATGGCTGTTTAATCACTTGCATGATCCAATAATTCATAGCTGTTTATTGTCTGCCCTGCAGACATTTTAATTCACAACCCATCTGGGCTGACTGTGACAGCTTTACCTTCCACCTGGTATTTCATTAAGCACTTTTATTTGAGAAATACTTCTCAGAAGCAATGAGATCAGTGTGCCTTGTGGCATGTGCTGTTGTGTAATGTGTATGACTTCGTAGTTAGTACTGTGGTATTTGTAACAGATCAGATATGTCAGTAGGGAGTGGGATCAAACCTAGATCACAGCCTTGGTTTTGAATAAATTGAAACCTAGAGCTAACACAAGAGCTGTAGTTAACACGGGAATCACAAGCCTGTGGTGAGAAATATTAAGAAGCCACTGCAAGGTAACTCTGACTTAGCATCAGCTTATATTTATTTAATCAAATAACTGAATTTCTAGAAGAATATTTAAGATGCAGACATATCTTACTGCTTTAAGAAAAAAAAAACAAAACTGCATAGCTTCCAAGAGATGTATTTTAAGTCTGATAAACTGTATTTTCCAGCCGTTTCTCTATCTTTTGTTTCCCTTTCTTTTCCCTTTTCTTTTCCTTTCCCTTTTTTTTCTTCCTGTGCTAACAGCATTGTTTCATTCCACTTCACAAAAAATACCTATTCTCAGAACAACTTCCAGCTGAGTACTTACAAAACATAGGAAGCAATTATCCTGTATTTGAGGTGGAGCTGAATGGAACAAATCCAAAACATGCCGATGAAAAAAGGTGTCACGACCTGTGTACTGAAATCCTGTCTTCACATCTTTTCTTGGATGACTGAGGAAAAATAGAGAGAAATAGATATCCTTTTTGAGCTGACTTTTAGGTCAAACCATAGACCTATTTTTTAGACTTTTAATTTACCTTCAGCATGAGTGAACTGGCTGTCAGGCAGACAGCCTTGGTTGCTCTTCATCTTTCAGGAATTAACACTGGCTTCTTCCACAGGTAGAGGTGTGAGACGATTGCGTGGTTGCCTAGTGCAACACACTTCTAGCTTTAAAGAAGCGCATTCCCCTGTCTTTATGCCTTCCCTCTAGCAGAATTACAGGAAAATAAGGTTCTGCAAGGTATGTGGGATAAGAGCTATGAGGTCATCCCCTCCCACTTTCTGAAGCAGCCATCATTACCTCCATTTTTCTCTCTCTGAGAGAAGTAAGAGCAGCAACTCTGGTCTACAGGCACCATTTCTCAAAGTACGTATCTCAATCTTCATGCCCATTGGCAGGAGTGGCCAGAGCTCTGGCTTTTGATCCTTTCGTGAGCAAGATCGTATTTTACTTTCACTGGTGAGAAGCCTTTAGCTACTACTGACCAATTAGTATGTTTTTTACTTCATCTACCTAGATGATGTGTGTTGTGTTCTTCATGCTAGCATCTAGTATTTTTAAAGTTTGAAGAAAATCAAAAGAACAGTGCTAAGAGCTACTTCTGACTTGTTGCATTTCTAAGTTGTAGTTTCTGTTAATAATTTGTGTAAAGGTAGTAAAATATACAAAAGTCACTGGTCTAAATAGGTAAGGATTAAAACAATGTGTTCTTTCCATCCGTGGATTCTTTTCTGAGTACTTTAGAATGAGTTCTTGTTTTGAATGAAACAATAGAATCATACAGAGAATTAATAATAAAATAAAAGGCAGAGAAAGCAGAATAATTTAGGGTCAGGTACTATAACATTTATTTACTCTTTACCCTGTTCTAAAGCATGTTGATGTTTTCTCTGTAGAATCTTGCATGCCAACCCAGCCAGAAATGGTTGTGTATGCTGGCTGCACACCACTGCATTTGGCTGAAGAGGATATTTTTACTTTGGGACAGATGGTAAGATTCTGTGCTCTCAAGACAGGAAAGCATTACTTACTACACTATCAGGGAGCTTCATTTTGTAGCAACTATGTTGTAACAAAACTAATATAATAGGTATAGTGAAATAGTCACCAGATAATGACTATCAGTTAAATTTATATTTTGTTACTTCTGTACTCTGAACATGCATTTTTCTGCAACCGCCTGGTCATTTTTTCAGTTTTATTCCACTTTGCTCTGGATCCCAGGAGCAGAAGTCTTCTGGGAGAGACTAGATGTGGACTTGAAAATACATCATGATGAGACACTTCTGAATGGAAAAACTAATTATTTTAAGGGCTACTTGAAAAACATTAAGGTTTTTCTTTAAGACTACAGTTAATGACTTTTCTGATAAACATTTTCTGATATGTTGTTCAATGAGAAATAGCATGCTTATATCTGTTTCTTTTATTAGTGTTGTAACTAGTGAAAGCAGCTGGAGAGAACACAGCACTTCCTGCAGCTTGAGTTAAAAAAAAAATGCTTAAATTTCCACTTAGTCCCTCACACTCTACAGAAAGCTATTTATAATACCAGATCATGCTTTCCTGATTTGGCTATTAATTAGATATAATTTTTTTGTACATTTAAATCATATTTATCATAATTAGAACATTAAAATTTAGCTGCCTTCTCAGGAAACTAATAGGCTTCATAGAATAAAGCTATTTCCAGAAGTGTTTTGCAGGTGTTATACTTTACAGCTCTTAATTCTTACACTATTTTCTTTTAAAATACTGTGCTGTATATTTTATGCCGTTTTGAACACTAGCTTGTTCTCTGTGATTTTATTTTAATTCAAAGCCCCAGACAATACTGTTTGTTTGCTAATTCTAAATAACACTAGCCATCAAAAAACAAACTGGCAACAGAGATATAGGGTTCTATCTTTCCTGCTACCTAATGCCTTGAGTCTCAAACTTGGCTTCAACCTGTCGGGGTGTACAGATTACTGAAAAAGAGGCATGGCAGACCAAATAGGATGAGGCAGATGAATCTGTATGTTGAAACCAGTATTGCAGTAAAAACTCATAGAAAAATGAAAGTTGACAGAAATTAAATAAGAAGTGTAGTGGATTTCTTCTGTGTTAAAAAAAGACCATTTTCAAGCTTTATCTGACAGCGGAGACGTACTACATTGATAGAAATAATTAAAGTTTGGTACAGTGGATTCATTGGGTAAGAGCTGTTCCCTAAATTTGTTGGAAATTTTGTTGTTGACTGTAGTTGTGCCAGAATTTCCTTACAGAATTTTGTCAGTATCCCTTTCAGCTTTGCTTTCTAGTGTGTATGTCCTTGGATTGATGTGGCTTGAATTTCTCTTAAGTTTGCTCAAATAAAATGAAAAAAAAATCAGTAATTGAATCATTACAGTGTGTCTCCTACTCAGTAGCCGACAAGTTCTCCTGTATGGCACCTAACTGCTCCTCTTCAAAATCCTTTCTAATCTTAGATGGTTTAACTTGCATTTTAAGTTGCTTGAATATGTGTGCACCCAATTACCACTCATGTTATTATCCTTATAAATTCTAAGATCAGATGAGGCTGATATATTGCTTGTGTACCTTAGTTTATTAAATCTGATCCTCTCCCTTCAAATAACTCTGACAACCACAACTACATTCTTCTCTGCAGAGTTGGTAATGACAAAACTTTAGGAACATTTGACAATGAGCAGGAGCAATCAGAGACTTGCTGATGAGTATATTAAAGAAATAAAGTATGGGTGGTTTACTTAGCTAGCAAAAGAAGATGTATTTTTAAAATAAAAAGGAACAACTTATCTTGTAGCAGGACCTTCAGTAGTGAAAAATGTTAAATACTGGACCATTATTATTTTAATGGAAAGAGCACCACTCAGTGTCTGCTTCTAAAATTGCTCTAAAGTCTATTGTGAAGGGTTTTGGTCTACTGGTCAAGTGTGGTGTCTTGAATATGTCTTCTAAATTAGCCAGCAGATATAAATTTTAACAATGGACTTGTTCAAAGTGAGATTGCATTATGGAGACTTCACAAATTATCTAAAAGTCCAGTTCCTTTTAGAATGGGGCTGCTTTATAAATTCATCATGAAGTAAGGACTTTTTCTCTAAGAAAAAGTATTTTTAAATATTTTTATTTAAAACAAAACGTTGTCACTGTTTTCTTACATCTTCATTCTGCTTCACTTCTACGTTTTCTGCAGCACCTAAAATGATATGATTGTATAAATAAGTTGAAAGAAGTGATGAGTTTATTATTAAGAGTAAAATATTTGCAAACACTTCTAAGTTCTAAATGATACTTTTCC